AAATCCTGATAATGCCCGCAACCTGGTCTTTTGTTCGGAGTACGGTCTTTTGTTACAGGGCCCTGTTTCCTTTGTCCGAGTTCGGAGACCCCGGCCACCCATATAAACCATACGTCTCCGATCCGGGAGTCCCAGGCAGGAAGTGGTTAACCATATTTATGCAATGTATGCATAATTATGTGCTCTAATACCTTTACGTTCTGCATGATGGAATGTGATTTGCATGAACCACATTGTCAAATTCTTTTTGATTGGTTATTCAACAATCGAACTGTAAACTTTTCCACATCACAAAACTTTAAGTTTCTAAGGGCTAATATGCAATCCTCTCTAATTTTTTTTTAATTTATAATTTCCTACTTGTCTTTGAAGGTTCATATTTGTAAAGCATACATGTATTTTCTTTGCTAACTAGTTTTTGTGTACTAGAATTTTTCAGAGGCAGATGGTGCATATTTAGTGCTGCCAAAAGAGTGGCGAGGCATGTTCAATACGAGGGCGTTTAATTTTCCTTCTGAAAAAAATGCCCTTTCAAATCAGAAAAGAAATTTATGTTTTGACGTAAAGGTTTCTTTGCATACTCCATACCATTTTTGTGGGAGTGAAAAAAAGAGGGTTTTTGTTGAAATCAGATGTTTTCTGATTTTTAGAAATCCACCTTTGGGCTTGTTGAATTTAAAGATGCGTGTCTGTGGCTTTCCGAGAGTGCGGAATGTTACAGTCTGATTTAATGTGTAAATTTTGATCTGTTTTTGCAGGGAGATTTCCTCCCCTCCCACCTTTAGCCCCTCCCCTTCACGTCCCCCCCCCATGTCGTCAATTGTATTTTTTCCCATATATGACAGCAGAAACAAGTATAAAATGCTATTGTACTTCTTAGGTCACTGTTTGGTGTAATATTATAGTTCTCACCTAAAAGGGTTCACACATTTTTCATTTTGTTGGCTGGGTGTGAAACGATATAAACAGTCACACCCCAAACACTGACCTAAATTTGCACAATCTTATATGACGCATGCACAGACCGACCTTCATTATTGTGTGGCAACTTTCTGAGTTTCACAAATCTCTGATCAAGTTTTACTTAACTCATTCGAAGCCTATAAAAAAATGACTTGATTGTTTCATTGTTCAAGGCTTAGTTACCACTCTGAATCCCATCTATAAGGAACAAATTTCATATTTTGGATTGGTTCGTTTTAAAATTATTTGAAAAATATTGGATGCAACTCTTGAAAGTGCCTTATCTGTATATTCCTCGGTGATAGATAACAGCTTTTGTAAGAGTGTTAAAGACAAGTAGAACAGAATTTTTGCCCCTTTCTAAAAATCAAAGTAGCTTTCAGATGGCTGGTGAACCTGTAACCCAGTTTATGTCAGTTTTTTTTCAGACATGGTTGAGTGATGTTGAGTCGAGACACACAGAAGCAGTTGTGCATGTTGATTTTTTTTTTGTCAGTCTCAGATTGTCGATATCAGTCACATTCAGGATGTAAGCATTTCCAGTGGCCGACTTTAAAAGTTTGAAAACAAAAAACTAATCATTCCAACTGCAACTGGCAATTTGTTTCCACTTCAGGATGGTTGAAAGTTCATTTCCAGCTCAGGGGTGTTGGAGATTAATGCTATGCACAAAATCATGATTGGCGAATTCCAAGATATTTTTGTTGTTAAATTCTGTCGTCAACTGAAGTCTTAATGGATGTCTTGGTGTCATTTTAGCGTGACGTCAGGTTGGAATGGCTCAGTAATTTGGCATATAGGATGCGGAATGTTTCACTTACACTGAAGAAAGTTGTTCATGTGCATGTATCCCAAAAAGAATTGTGTAAATGCCTGAAGCAAAGGACACAAAACTCACTGGAGTGGGTTGGTTATGTAATCGTAGGTTCTCACTGGATGTACATTTTTTTGTGAGCAGTTGAACACTCCAAACCTCTATAGCACATCCATCAGACCCATGTAAGCAGGTGTTTTTAATCAGCTTTCGTGTGAAAAAAAAAAAAAAAAGGTGTCTGTCCACTGCTTATTGAAAAGTGGAAAATTTGTTTCCATTTAAAAACCAGGAATTCTTTCCTTTCCATTTCATCGCAGTCTGCTACCTGAATCTTGAGTAAGAAACAAGATTTGGAGAGTTCAAGTCGGAGACCACCTCTAAGGAAAAACATGTTTTCTTTGATATTTATCTGTTCAAATAAATATGGCAGCATCCGAATCGAAAGCAGTGTCATTTGTCTTCCGCGCTCAACTATAATGAGCTTAAAAAGGCTTCTTTTCTGTTCATGTCAAGATGTGAATTCTGAATGTAGATTGTGCCATTCAGAGAAAACAAGGGGAACCCTCGCCCTGTGTTCGTAGGTAGCCATTGTTTGGCAAGCCCAGGGGGTTCATCCACTGTGAACACAGGGTGGGGGTTACCCTCATTTTCGGAATGATGCAATCTACATTCAGACTTCGCATCTTGGCTTGAACAGAAAAGCCCTTTTAAGCTTGTTATAGTTAAGCTCTGATGACGAAATGACTCTGTGTTTGATTTGGATGCTGCCATATTTATTTGAACAGACAAAATCAGATAAAACCTGTTTTTCCTTATAGGTGCTCTTTAAAGTGGTTCTCCCAATGATTTAGAATCATTGGGGGAACCACTGTTGATGGGATGGTACCATAATAACCTGCTTGACTGTGTTTTGTATCAAAATATTGTATCACTCAACCCTCCTATGCTGAAGTCACTCTTTGGGTCACTTGGTAAACACGTCAAAGAAGCACAGCTGTGTCGTGTTGTGCACTGCACCCACGTGCAAGAGAGTGACCTTGGGCACTTGTGCATATTTGTGCTGTAAAACTAAAGGAGGGTTAATTAATTAATTCCCCAGACTAAACACACTGTTTCTATACCTCGTGATTTGGGGCAAGCCGGTTCCCTTTTTATCCGTTGAAAACAGTGTATTGATGTAAGGCGTCTCCAAAAGCTTGCCCCGAATTACGAAATATAGCAAAGGTGTCCTTAGTCAGGAGAATTAAATTATGTTCACATGATATTAAAGAACTCAGTGTACCAGATTTTATTCAGATGTTACTCGCAGATGGCTTATTGCAGTGTGCGAGACATGCACACTTCATGAAGGACTGATCATGACCTTTCAGAGATCATGAATATTCATGTAATATACACATTCACAGGTGCACAATTAGCATTTTTCGGCTGTTTTAATAGGCACCTGTAGATCTTTATGAACTATCCCCTACTTTGTGTTACTAGCCTCTTGTACAAGCCAATGATGGTGCTGGGTGCTAATGAATGGGTGAATATGTCATTACATGGCTGGAGAAAGAGACTTTTCATTTTAGGGTCATTTACAAGTGCACATACTTTGGGACCGTTGCTTTCTTTTACACTCTGAAGCAGGACAGTAGATCTGTATAATTGGTAGGTTTATATTTCAAAATTGAAATGGAATGTTTGATGTGCCATATTTATGGCAATGTAATGCATTTCATGTAAGCAAAATGTTTGATGATGCTGGACAGTTTTTAGAGGAATTCATTTCCAAAAGAACTGAGGACTGTGTGTCTTTGAAAGAAATTCAAAGCTCAAGGCCAAATATGGGCGATTCACAATAGTGCGCCACCAAGAGTTTGCAACGCGTTGGCCAATCACAACGCGCAAAATCTGTCGACCCTTTCCAAATGCGGGTTTGGTCGACAGATTTCATGCACTGTGATTGCCCAACGCGTTGCAAATTCTTGGAGGCGCACTATTGTGAAACGGCCGTATTGTCTTAGCAAGGCCACCGCACATATACCCACCACCTGATCTTTGAACAATATAAATACACTTGATTTGACTTAAACATTCGTGTTGATGCTATGTCTGATGTTAGTGGAAATCACACATTATAGTTCTTGGAAGTCCTTGTAGTGATCTGTTGTAGGCCTAACAACTTGCAGATTTCTCAAACTGTTTGCATTTTTTTCCTGGGTTGGGGCAGAGGTGGTTGATGTTAGACCGTGCTTCAGTTCTTTTTACACTCACAGAATTTTACACTCACAGGATAACCCTCTGTTTTTTCACTAAGGAATTCTTTTGTAGGACATTTACAAAAGAAATCCAAGCTTTCCGCGACTCTTTTCAGCTAATTTTCAAGTCTGGAGAGAAGTCCCCAGCTGTGGCATCCGCTCCGAGCGCAACAAAAGAGCGTGTGGTTTTTTTTGGGTACTCACGGCATCAGCGCGCATTTATAATGGAGATCGATGGCGCGTTTGACGCAGAGCGCGCCGAGTACATCTAACGAATTAATTCCTTGATGTATGGTCTTTGCATACATGCAGAACGCATGCAAGAACCAGCATGAAAAACGTACAATTATCTGTTTTTCTTTTGCCACTTGGGGGTGCACTTCAACTCGGGGCGGATTGAAGAATGTAAATCCTCGACATTTTGAAGACCGTGTTCCGTCTGAAATTCATCTTTTACTAGCCAAACATTAACCGTAACTCTCTTAGGATTCAGGACAGTTAGGGTTAAAGATGTCTGACCCTCCACACACAGAACAATATCCATTCTGATATGTTATACAATCAACACAAAAATAGTTATAACAGATAGAACCAAATTATGTAAACTCGGAGACACCTGCTGTTTGGGACACTCTCCGAGTGTCACTTTTTAAATTTTATTCTTGGAAAATCCAAGTTTCTTGCTTTTATTTTTTATACAATCTCTCAGCAAGTCTTGCAGGCTCCTTCAAGAGCCGTGAGGAAATTTTCTGGCATCAACTTGACGTCTTGACAAATGTTCACTTTCCGGCCCTCTGCTTGTGTTGTACTGTGACACAGTCACAGTCAAAGATTTCAGAGACAATTTTCTCCATCTTACGTTATCAGTTAGATTCATCAAATTACATTATTTGAAAGAAAAACATGCACTTCGAAAGATTGCTTAAATGATGGATGTCACATTCCACTTTGAAAATATCCCCACTGGTGAAACGTTAGCCTCAATTCAAGGATACATTTGGTTTGTACTATGTTGCATACAAAAAGACACAGGTATTTGCCTTTGGGCCCCAAACATTGGTAGAATTCCATAAAATAACAGTTTGTTAGGCCCCAGAAGATAAGTATTATTTGAAAAGCTGATTGAGATATGCACAGGCCCCCTTTTCACATTGAAATTAACATTTATTCCACATTAACTGATCAGAAATCTTTGACTGCGAACCAAAATCTGTCAGGCCAGAGCTGACCCACCACTTGAGGGGGGGAGACTACTGCTTGAGTTGATACACTTGCCAGACGCGGATGGTGTTGTCGGTGTAGCCAGCAAAGAGCGTCTGGCCGTCGGCCGACCAGGCCATGCACAGGCAGCTCAGGGGCGGAGCCTTGGAGTTGGGGTTGATCACCTCCGGCTTCAGTTCGTCCACGATGCACTTCTCCTCCAAGTCCTGCGGCGGCGAGGGGAAAAAGAAATGCAATAGTGTATTTCCTCACAGGCTGGCACGAAAGAAAACCTCCTAAAAAGAAAACGTGCCGCTAAAAACGTCAAATCTACAGAGGTTCCGTGCATGACATTTCACAAAACTTCACAATTTTCAGAAATTGTCAGATTCAATAACACTTTGCAATAAACATCCACACAATTGTCTCTCTCAGAACCATTTATCGACAAAATACACTCCGCCTTCAAATTTCATACATTATGAATACGTGCCAGCACAGTCTGGTTTATATTCTAGATTTCTAGCCTGTTTTTTGGTGCAGAACTGGAAGAGTTCAAACAAATCTTGCAAAGAAAATGGAAGCTCTGTTAAACTTCAGTGACCAGAACTGGCGACTTGCTCAACTAACCCAGATCTTGATGGTGGGTCCCGTAGCGGCGCAGAGCCAGTACCGGTTGGGGCTGAAGCAGAGAGCGCTGATCTCATCGGCACCGTCTAGAGTGTACAGGTGCTTACCCTCGTTGAGGTCCCACAGCATTGCCTGGCCGTCCTGCGTGACGAGACAAGAGAGAGTGGTGCTGGGAGATCAGAATCAACAGGAACAATGCACAGTGCGCTTCAAAATATTTTTCCCCAAAAGGTCCATTCCTGGCCCAAGGATCGACGTCGGTATTACAGTTTCCTTGTTCGCATACTTTGAAGCTGGTGGGCATCCAACGACTGAGCTTTTTGTGCGTTGGACAGATGCAGGATTATATTTTGATCGATCGCACGCCATGACAAAAATGGGGAGCTGCACAACATGGTTGTGCAAATACGGAAAAGGTAGGAGTCGGAGCCCAGCTTGATCGCTGTGTAATGGAGACGCATAAAGTCAACCTTTTCCCGTAATGCAATGTGCACTTCTGTTGATTTGAGCTCTCTTAGTAGAATGGTTTAGCGTAACTAATCCTCCCTAATTTCCTGCCTCATCTTGACCTTGTACCCTCACAAATCCCTTCAAAAGTCTGGCCACAAGTCCTTTTCCTTAACCCCTTCGCTACGGAGGACTGCTACTACCGCACCGTTGTGTGAGCATTAGTGCATACCACACATACAGTCTATTCACCATGCAGCTGCTGGTTCAATGGGGCCTGCTGCTGGACACAGCCCTCCATTCAGGGCATACCACAGCCCAGCAGTCGCGGTCAAACTAATCCCGCTGTGAAGGGGTTAAAATACGACATCAAAGAGTAAACAATGACAACAGAACAGAAGATTTTTGTCATATTTCATTTAAACAGCGGGTGACTTGCAACGGACATGCCGGGACTTGTGACGGACTAGACTCGAGCTGCTTGTGATTCTGCCACATCGGAGGAACTAAGCCGTCTTACCCTCCCTCCAGAGGCGCACAGGGAGCCGTCGGGGGACACAGTCACGCAGTTCAGGAATCCAGTGTGGCCGTAATGGTTGGTCTTCAGCTTACAGTTGGTCAGATTCCAGACCTGGGAGAACAGAACGGCAATAACGTAAGGGGGGGGGGGAAAGGAGTTAGGGTCTACACATAGAATGAGCGGTACTTGAGCTCTACGTGTCATCAGGTATGTACACTGGCAGATCGTCGGAGGATTCCATGTGTCTGGTTTGGGTGTCCGGATCCAGAACAGTTGATGTGGCCAGAGAATTAAAACCAGACCAGTTTGACTTTACGAGCCAATAAGCACCCTACACAGCACGGAACAGCACGAGAAGGTGACTCTAAGACTCGCAAAAAAGAACACACTAATTAAAAACATACAAACAGCATTGTCAAGTCTCAGACGTAACTGAATTCACCGTCCAAAATCCAAACTGTGACGGGGCAAAATCCGTGACAGGCGATATCAAATTGGAGCTTTTTCACCAAAGGCCTACAGCCATCAGCACAAACTTTAACCGACAGGTGTTTCGTCAGGTAGTGAACTCGTTTTTATTTAAACACTCTGATCGGTCAGACAAGGTTACTCTAAATCCTAGAACGAGAACAGCCTTTGAGCATTGTTCTGACAAAGAGGGATTTATCCCACGTAATTCACCTAAAGTTTGGGGATATTACAATGCTCACTCGGCCAGAATTTGTATTTGTCTGCCTCATGGTAAGAGTGTGCTTCCTGATTATCAAAATCTCACCTTGACGACCTTGTCGCAGCCAGACGAGACGATGATGGGATTGACGGTGTTGGGGGAGAAACGAACGCAGCTGACCCACTCCTTGTGGTTGTCCTCCTGCTAGTATACAGGTGAGAAAAAAAAGATAAAGACGCAAGGTGCGTGAGAAGTCTGTCAGTCGGGTCACACTCTCCTCAAACGAAGTCGCTGTTGGCCAATACGCGATCTTTCATCCTAACGCCAGGGAAAAGGTGGAGAACCTTACCGACTTCTCCAGAAGCCACTGTGCAAGAAACAGTTGTCAAATTCTCTTTGGACTTCCAAACTAAACAGGCACCAAGCCACACAAACTGAAACCGAATGGGCTCAAAGTTCCTTGATCCAAAACTTTCATAAAAACAAATCTCTTAGAGAAGGATAGTGATGCAAGTGGCTTAGATTTTCAGGGTAACTATGGCAACGACAGCTGTGCAAGTCCCCGCCTTGTGCATTGTCAGTGAGCTCTGCAATTCGTGACTTTTTGAGCAGTGAATCTGTGGGTCACTTGTCACGGGGTCTGTCCATAGACCGAAACAGATCCTGCAGTACAGTGATCCATGATATTTTGTTATGTGCCCATTACAGCCCCTCAAACTGCACAGCAAACGCAGTTTTGGGAACGCCTCAATGGGCAGGGCTTTGCACTGCCAACTACAGTGGAACGCTGCGATAACAAACGTGACGGGATCGCTAAATGTTCCATACAGCGGTCGTTCAGCATAGCGAAATTTACTGCCTAACGTTTCGTTGAATAGCACCCTCTCGTTCCATTGCACAACCAATTCAATGGACATAAATTCAACTTGCCAAGATCATAATTCTAGAATTAAAAAATATGCCTCCTGCCAGAATGGCAGATCAAATCAAGTCCCAAGCATAGTAACTCAGACTAGGTTCTACCGTCAAAAAAACAATACAAAAATTAAAAAAACTCAATTAAGTTTATTGAGGTCAGGTTGAGAAGTGTCGCTTAGCCTGGTATGGTGCCAATGAGATTCATGTGCTTAGCAAAACAATTAAGGTGAACCAGTCACACGCAATGCATTTCACATGACACCTCAGCAGGCAACCAGCACTTCCTCAGCCATTATTTTCTTGGCCTGGTAAATTTCTTTCTAAAAAATCCAGACCCTACCAGAATGGTGTACTTGCACACTCCTAGCGTGTTCCACAGCTTGATGGTCTTATCCCTGGACCCCGAGACGATCTGTCGGTTGTCCTGGGAGAAGGCAACACTCAGCACGTCCTTGGTGTGGCCGACAAAGGTTCGTGTGGTCTTCCCACTGTGGTGACCAAATTAAAAAAAAAAAAACATTTCTAGACATGATAGTGAGACAGTGTTACATCAGGTATCTTGGCCTAAAATCTTGGCGTTGGGGCCTGTCACTTACCTTCCAAGATCCCACAGGCGAAGCGTCTTGTCCCAGGAGCAGGAGAGCGCAAACTGGCCATCCGATGACATCACGATGTCCGAGACAAAGTGGCTATGGCCCGTGAGCCGCTTGTTGGCAAAACCGTAGTTGTTCTCGCTACGCGTCAGCTTCCACATGATGATGGACTTGTCTGGCGCACAAAAATACAGGACCAAAAGATGTCTTCACAGCAAAAGGAACATGACACAATATGGAATCAGTTGGAAGAACGCACTTTGGGAAATGCATGTAAAGAAACACATGCCTTTCTGTAATGTCTGCATGGTGGGAAACAGATTTCTCTTGTGAAAATAAATGAAACAGTAATAAACGTGTATCTGGTTTTGGTGTCCGGAGCCAAAACAGTTGATCTGTGCCCCGAGGATAGAACCAGACTACATTTGTTTATGAGTCTTCAGCACCCCACACAAGTGGGTTCAATGTTGAGGAGGTGACTCTAAGACTCAAGGGATGTAGCCAAATGATATGGCCACATAACCAACTACACAATTCATGTATTCAGTAAGCGTATATCCCGTTCCATCGCCATGTTGATTTATCACCCCCACGCAAGTAAGTGAGCAAAGCTAGTGGGGAACAAATTGTCTACAACATTAACAATCCCAAGCATCCATTTGCCAAACATTACGTAATGTTGTCATGCATGTTTCACTCTTTCAAGTTCTCTGTACTTGCATACATGAATCGTGAAGAAGGCTTACTCCATCCATCTCATAGGACATAGCAAGTGATTCTAAGCTTAGGGGTGTATTCTGAGCTGCAGGGTACTCTGCAATTACTCCTCCAGATCTGATTCGTGCACGTTATTTTGGCCGATTAATTGAGCCTTGAAAATATCAGTGAATGGTCATGATAGATGGTGCCAGGTCTCGCAGATGGCATGACGTCACGACAAACATTTAACCCTAACCCTCCTCAATCCTTCACCTGTTGGAGGACTGAGGAGTGTCGGGGTTAACATGCGGCAAAGGGGCAAATTTTCCCTTCATGCTATTCAATAGTGAACAGACGTTCCTAGATAGATGTCCAGCAACCACGACCTTGAGAATGATACAGAACTTGCCAAAATTGTTATCATAAAGAAACAAACTGATCTGTAATTACTCCAAAATTCATGAAAGGATTAGAATACCCTTTAACAGCCTACTTATAATCGATGGGCTTGCAAATGAAGAATCCTAAATATTGAAATTCAAATCTTCATCAACGCCGTAGTTGTATGAGGAAAAGTGTTAACGTTATGGTTTATCAGTATGTGCGCTTACCTCTCGATGATGACAGAACAATGTCCGGAAATGACGGCGTGGTGGCGATTTGGGTGACCCATCCATTGTGACCCTTGAGGGTACCCTTCATTATCACTTTTTCATTCATGGTCATGATTTTTGGATCCGTCTATATCGAGGATGACGACGGATTTTTGAGGCCGCAAACTCGGCTGCTGGTGCTTCGGCTGAGAGGAGCCGTGAAAAGAGACCGTGGATAGTCTGGTTCCGCCTATGTCACTACAAAGCTGTCATATGTTGAACGTAAACAAATACACGCTCTGCTGGAGGTGGGTACTAGTCTTATTAATCCGAAGGCATGGTGGCGCTACTCTTAATTTCTAATTTGGGGGAGGAGCTAACATTGCGTACGGGGTGATCTCTGTTAGTGGCAAGAACACAAATAAAACGCTGGGCCAAATATTTCAACTGTAAATATTTCACCTACACATCTTTGTGTTCAATCTAAAGAGAGCTGTTTGTAATGAAATCCTTAGACAACTTGTTTTTCTAGGTACAAACTCTATTTTTGAGTGTGCTAGAGGGAGGGTTATTCTTTTCCTCATCTTTGAAATTTGAGGGACCCTCCCTCCCAGATAGTAAAAGTTTGGCTCACATCTTTAGCTTTTAGGCCCAAAATATTATAGGCCTGCGCCCGGGGTAAAGTTTCATCAATGAAAAAACTAGTGATGAATTGCACACATGATTGGTAAATGATAATTTTTTTTTTCCATTTCCGTGTTTGACAAAGAAAGAACAAAACAGAACCAAGAAGCCATTGATAGATTCCAACACATTTTATTAGGTGATTAAAACAAATAAAAAAAGAAATACGGGTGGATCAAATCAACAGGCATTAAAATGTACTTTCACTGTTTTACAACTACATGTACTTGTACGTGAACAATTACCATTCCTTAAATACAAGTTTTCTTTCTTTCGTTTAGGCAATTTATGGAACAATTATTTGGGTAGTATCCAGATTTGTTTTAGCGTAAATACACATACATTGCATTTGGTATTGGTCACAATACTCTTACAAACACTCAGGCTTTAGTCCAGCAAACATTAACCTTGCAATTTTGTTCAGAGAAAAGAAATTATTCCCAGAAAAAGAATCGGACTTACTCTTTAAAACAACCTTTCTCGCTAGAAAAGTCTCGTAACAATGAATTTGACTATAAAGCCCAACTTGAAACAACTGATCACATTGTTACTTTTTAAAGGGGTGCATGTAACACATTAACGGACAAACACAGGCTATAAAACAAACTTACATTAAGAAAGAATAGTTAACCCTAACAGTCCTCAGTCCTCCAACAGGTGAAGGATTGAGGACTGTTAGGCTTAAGCTAACAGGAAAATCATTTACCATTTTCAGTTCCATTGACGTACAAAACAACTTTTTTAATGGAAAGTGTCACAGAAGATGGGGGGACAAAGCCACTTGGACACGACTTTATTAAATGCATAAAATGATGGTTATACTAGTGCTATGCTAATGACCAATTAGCTAATTATGCAACAATGAGACCAGCTCAAACAATGAAATGTTTCCTGTGTAGTAGCTGCCAATGACAGAACCTCAAGCAAAAGAATACAGATTTTTAAAACGACCACTGCAAAGGATTTATTGAGATGTTGGAATCGTACAATGACTCCTTGGGTAGAAATCTCCCTTGATGAACACTTTCACCACATTGGGTAGGGAATTTATTGGTACTAGTTGATTGGAGCCTGCGTAAACATATATAGTTTGTACAATGCTGTCCAGGAGGAGCGGATACACATGTTGCTTTGTGTGTGCCAATGGGTGAATTTATGCCTTGTACTTTATTCATCAGTCACACATCACGATGCCTTAAACAGTCGAGAAATCACAGGCAACACCGAGAGAGGGATTTCACATTAGCGCCATCTGCGCATATTTGCATCGAAACCGAGGCTCTCTGAGTTGAACTTTGTTGCGCGGGCCCAGAGGGAGTCGACACAGTACATGCAGTATCCGGTTTGTAAGTGGACGCCACTTCACAGAGTTTGAACCATGCCCACTGCGCATGCAGATACACGACCATCGCAGGTACGTTAGTTTGCGGTAAATTAGCGTTTTTTTTTCTTTTGATTTTACGTGTCGAGTCACCCTGAAAGACTCTTCCAAGAACATTTGCAGCCTGAAAAGTCTGAATTTAACGTACCTTTGTGTATTTTGCGTCTTGACTCCTTACTTTCAATCGTCTGATCGTATTAAGAATTGAAGCTGACACATACAGCCTCGTTTTCAAACACGGAAGTGCGCAGATAGACGCTAAAAGCATTGTACTGGGATCCCTCCATTAAATCTCTCTCTCATCTGCTGCATTCAAGATTAGTCACCATGGCAATGGCACAAAACAAACACCGTCTGAGCTTTTAAAAATGCTGCGTGGTGGTGCCAAGTCTAACGCAGTCTTTTATTTCTATCGTTTACATGTACCATCTATTTGACTACCTACTTCGTATGAGTAAATTTGTTAGTATAGTGTCGTAACACTCGCCACTGAAGTCAGTGAGTGCTGATAGAAAATCAGAGTGGTCCAAGTGCATGAGTACCTGAGCATGAGTGCGCACGTAGCACTCGAGATTAGCACATAACTAATGTTGATGATAACAATGACTGTATTTACAATGAGATTTGAACTTCAGTTTATTAAGACAGGCCACAAAATAAAACCTTTTCATTGAATCTACGACAGCGTGGCCAATACACCAAAATGGGTCAGCTACCACAGAATACTTGAGAAAATCCTTCTTTCCACACTAAAGGTCGTTTCATACTTTAGGCGAAAGCAAACACGAGTGGGACTTTGTGACGTCACATCAAGTATTCGCACTACGAATTCGCAAAGGTTGAACACATTTCAACCCAATAATATTTCACTGCATGGCTTTCATGACGTCAAAGTCACTTTGCTTTCGCATTCGTGTGAAGTATGAACTGACCTTAACAGAGTGAGGAAATTCCCCCACCCCATTAAAATTTGAATCCCCTGCCCAAGTGTGTTCAAAAATAACATTGCAATTGAAGGACTAACAACTGGGTCGAAAATGTTAATTGAACTGTAGGATTTTGCAAGTTTGGATTGTCAACTTTGAGGCTACCTTGTGTGAAAGCTAACTTTTATGTGGGAAAGTTCACATACAAAGCGTACCCAACTAATGAAATCCACTGCCGAGAGTTTCATAAGTTCTAAGCAAACGACAATCAAAGTGAAACAAACTTGATAGAACTACTTAGTGACTGACATGGAGCATTCAAGCTAATCCTGTGATTCTTTGTATTACTATGCAAACTTCTGTTTGCAGTTTGACAGCACAGACATCTTTCTTTACACAGTTAACATTTCGATGCATTTCTGTACCAGAACCATTATGCTGTGCGTTCCCAAAGCATTACACTCTGGTGACAACACTCACAGCAAAAAGCAGTACAAAACGTTTTCAAATCAGCAACTCCATGAACTTGAAAATCGGAATAATCAGATTCAAAATAAACCTCCGACATCCATTTAAAAAAAAAAAAAAAATCAAGAGGCAACACACTTTTCATGACATAAATATAATTTTAAAAAAAGAAAATTCACTCCCCCTGTTCCAGGCAATTTTCTTCAGCACGGCACCCGGAAGGCTTTCAAAGTTTTCCAACACTTCATGGGCTGAGACCCTAATTCCAATAGTTCTAATATCTTCACTCTCCTCCCAAGGATAATCCAGGGACTAGGTGCCCAATCTCATTCCCCCCAGTACCATCCTATTACTGAAACACTCAACTATTCTTGGTTCTAAATTGGCCCCATCATCCGTCCCTCAACGATGACGCCCTACCCTCAAGTACTTAACCCCCCCTTCCCCTATGGCCTACCCCAGTCCATTCTTCTATAGGTACACATACGACATCTCAATGCTACATCGTCACACATACAAAATGAGATGGCATGGTATTCTACATGTGTTTTCAATCACATGTACTATGAATCATTTTGGGAAGGGGCGATTAAATTCACAGAGAGGTCACTTTGTCGGGTAAGCTCACACGCTCACAGATCTGCAAAGGTCCTATGGAGGCTCATTTTTATACAACATTTTTAATCTCAGATTTCATTACACACTGCCAGACGTCCAGTTCTGTCAAGAAGTTCGTTAATTCGTCTGATAATAACTGAAAATTTAATTTGATTGCAAAGGTTAATTTGGTGCAAGTACAAATTAACAGTTCAAGACACAAACTACATTTCTTAAAGTTCTACTACAGGACCCTTACAGGATTCCATTTTTTTTTGGTTTTTTTTTGTCATTCTAATAATTTAGTTTATTTTTGGTGAGATGGCTTTTGATAGGAGAAATCACTACATGACATCCATAAATAATCATCAATGCAGGCAGTAATTTTTGATGTTTCATAAACAAATAACCATGTGAAGAAAAAACATAGTATAACAAACACTGACATCCAATGCTTATATGTAAATATCGGAGTCTGTTACCCATTTTAACTGACAAAGCTTTCTGCATACATGCTTTACACATCGTTTATAGTTGCAGGACCTTTCTCCGCCGTTAACGCTGACGCAATACTTACAGAGACAGCACTGGGTATGCCACACGAGCTTCTACTCTACAAAGTTACAAGAAGTAGTCGGGTGTGCGTCGAGTTACATGCGGTTCTCCTCTTCTGGGGGCGGGGTCAAACTGTAAACTGTGGGGAATAGAAAAAAGGAGGTGGAATTCAATAGAAGCAATGATTTTGGGGAAGAGCTTCGGGGGGCCTGAACCCAGACAAACCACCCATGGATTGAAAGAGCGAGAAGATTTACAACTGTGATTTCAGGGGATAAGTCTCCAAACTTTAAAAGGCTTCAACTTTGCATGGTCTCATCACCAGAGGTAACGAAGAACAAACTGATCCAGGCACTGCATCATGCATACAAATGGCTAGAGTGTACAACCAACTTTCATTTGAATGTGCATAAAATTACAACACATGCAAGTGAAAGACACACACCTACAGTGAAAGCGTACTTTTGCAACTGTTTAGGCATCTGTTGGTGAGAGACGTACTTTCCATTTTAATACCGGGTGTTATGTTCTGCAGTGTTGATATATCAGTAACTAAATAAAATTGGCCGATGAAATTTCCGAAACCACACGCCGTACTAAGTTGAAATTCATGTTTGCAATGACAAAAAGTGGCCGGGTCAACTTACAAGGAATATTTGAGTGCATCGTCTAGTTCCATTATGGCTGCTTGATTGCCACATCTGTAGCAGTAATTTGGAGCACTGAAAATAGTAACTACATTACGATCATGACACCAGTTGTAACCCTGCAAGAAACAGTGACAAAAATGATTAACACCTCTCAAAAGCATCTTCACACAGCACTATGCAAAACAGATTTTACAGAGTTAAACATATTTACATTAAGCGGAATTCTGGTGTTATCTACGATTCCCTTGGCCAGTTGGCATGGACCTCATGGGTGGAGAGAGGCAAATTGGAGTGAAAGGGCTTGCCAAAGGCAGCAACATATCGCCAGCAGCTGGATTCGAACCCCTCACACTCTGATCATGAGACACACACCCTAACCATCACACCATACTCCTCCCCCACTTAAGGTTACTTCAACCAGTGTCCCTTTTTTCCCCTTAAACTGGACTTACCTCCATGACGAGCTGATGGGCTCTAGATATGAGGGTCAGTCCGTTCATGTGGTTGAAGTTCTCCGATATATCCTGGCCAAAGGTGTAGCCCGCCCCTCGAGGGGAAATCCCCCAGCCGCCGCGGTCGTCAGGATCTGACCACAGGAGGTCGCACATGGGACCCTACGGAAAAGAGTGTGGAGATGCAGGTCAGTCAGATGGGGGGGAGGGGTTCTCTGGATGTTTTGCTTAGCACAAGAATAAGCTAAGCAAAATTTGTCTGCTAAGCGGATCTACGTAATTGGGTTCATTCTTTAACGTTAACCTTCATCAATCCTACTAGGCAGTTTTGGAGGAATTTGGAGGACTAAGACTGACCGGCACGAAGGTGCTGCTTTATTGCAAAGGATGCACTGTGTCAAGGTCTTGGGTTAGACCTTGTAATGTTTATACACCCCATGCATAAATGCATGTCTCCATTACACAAAGAATCATTGACAACGCTTCCAAGATACCATTTGCACTGCCTCAACATGACAGGAACTGCTGGAGGAGTTTGAAGAATTGAAGGCAGTGGTCATCCCTCCAAGTACACACTCAAAAAATGGAGGATTTTGGAGGATTGAGCCTGTAAAAATTGTCCTGCGGAGGCAGTCGGAGGATTTTGGAGGACTCTTGGGTTCGGGTTAACGACTTGTACTTTACTTACAGTAGGCCATTAACCAGTTTGGGGAGGCAATTTTCTTTTTTTACATTTACTTTGAAGAGTTGGCCATTGTGAAAAAAATCATTTGTCTGAAAATAAATTTCAAAGTTTGTTTCAGTATGTCACCACTGACCTCATGAGGGACTTCTTGTAGGCGATCCAATGCACGAATGTGGTCCAGAGTGTCAATAGAGGGTGACAGACCACCATGAAGACAGAATATCTATGTGAATAGAAGAACGGAATTCTCTTGACATAAAATACAGATAATCAATAAAACCTCCAATTCTGAAAACAAGGAATTTTACAAAATTTGCAGAGTACAAAACAAAACAAAAGCATGAACAGATTTTCATACAAAAAACCAAAATTAAAACAAAAACAGAAAATGTCCACAGATGTCCACCGAGGCAAAGAGCAAATTTTCACAAGTTTGATGATTTTCAGATAAAGAACTTAACATTACATCACATTTCCTTGGCAAAATGTTATAAAATCAATAACGTCCTTCAAGCACTTGGAATCAAATGTGAATAAAAGACAAGTTGCATGATAATACACTGTACAGTGTCAACATGGCTACTGCAGTCGAGTCGTACCTGTCCATCTACCAGAGCGGTCAGGGGAAGATAGTCAAAGAGATCGGTGAAGTATTTCCAGACGTTAGGGTTGCCATACTTGCGTAGGCACTCGTCATAGAAACCATAGACCTGCGTGATCTGCCGGCTTTCGTGGTTGCCTCGTAGGATGGTGATGCGCTCAGGAAACCTCACCTGGAAATAATAGGCACGAGCAGTTTATAAAGTGTTCTCGGAGTTTCGTTTTTGTGATTTTTTTGGTCCTCAATTTTGCTTCAAAGCACTGACAAACACACGCCTGCTTTCACACAACGAATATTCGGTCTTACAGACTAGCAGATTGTTGAGGAACAAACCATATACAAAATCAGTTGCAAAAATGCACACAGTTGTACATTTATAATCACTTTAATTCCTTCTTATGTCTACGAGCATCTCCAACCACGATTTAGCAACATATAAGAGACAAATAACACTTCTTTTCCTGTTGGAAGTGGATATTCCTTTTGAATTTTTAATCAATAATGTACATTTTGAATCGCTGTAAGGTTTCTGTGACTTTTCATTTGAATCTACTTGGAACAAGCCTCCATAGTGCAATTTTTCTCATTTAAAGCAAAAGAAAATTCTCTCTCCCTTTTCATGAATTTTGCATTTGAATATTCTAATTTGAAAAATATTTGAATATTTGATAATCGATTGAATATTCGGTCATTCCGATATTCCACACAGCCTTACTGTACCGGCTCAACATACTTTTTGCAAGGACATCAAAATGAAGTATGAAATTCGCACCTCTTGAGACTGCATTTGATAACCGTTTATCATTTCGATGCCTATTTTTAAAAACTTTAGAAGTCCATTTATCAAGGCATAGCTTGATTTAAGCTATGGCTGTTCTTCCCAAAAGTCCCAACAAGAAAAATGCGAGAAAATAAAAGGATGTTTCAGCTCTTACATTACAAGCAGAAAGAGAAACCTTGGGTGAACGTGTGAAGGAAAATGCAACTGATACCTGTTGTGTCTTTGACTAAGTCAGCAAGAGTTGCAGGAACGGGGAATGATAGACCTATTGCCACCCTCAAAAGTTGAATAGGGGTCACTCTGTAAATCTGGGGTCCAATTTTTTTCCTGTCCCTGTCACATCTGGCATATCATTTTGTGAGTTTAGAACACATTCTTCAATTTCCAAGACTGATTAAGGCAAAGTTCCTACAAAAGAAATTTTTCCATAATATTTCTGTGAGAAATCACACAGGTTTGGTGTAATGAGGACATGTCACCCTTTTTGACCCTGAATTTACAGTGAACCATAAAGTACCGGTAAGTGATCTTTTTTGTGCATGGGAAGTCCTTTATTCATCTTAAGATCTCTTTAACACAGCTGCCCTAGGGCCCAATGTCTCACTCACCTTTAACGTGACTAATAACGAAACTGTTTCGACAGAGTAGTACCCACGATCCACGTAGTCGCCCATAAAGAGGTAATTTGTGTCAGGAGACTTGCCCCCAATTCTAAACAGCTCCATCAGGTCGTGGAACTGTCCGTGAACATCGCCGCACACCGTCACTGGACATTTCACTTCTTGGACGTTAGACTCTTTTGACAGAATTTCCCTAGCCTGACAGAGAAAAAGGAAACACTGATGTAAAGAGAGCCCAAGAATTATAAATTGACATCCTGGACCAATTGGAATCTTACACAACACAATAAATGTACAAAGAGCATACATGTACAGAACCGTGATGGCATTGTGTGGCATTTGCAAAGGAAAGAGTTCCACATACGGACAACACTTGATGCCCCAGTGCACAAACCTATGAGACTTGTCTGAAAAAACTTACGTGTTTTCTAAATAAATGCTCAGGAATTTTCCTACCTAAATTTAATTTTTTAGGACGTGTTATTACTTTCTGATGGCTGTTATAACATTTGAAGGGAAAATTAGTGTTGTCGGTACATGGAACTCTTTCTAAATCATATCCCACAAATGGAATACATGTACATTATTGATACTTCTACCTTGGCAGACCTCCATAAATGAGGTATGACTGAACCTGCATACATGAACCTGTACATCACAGAAGCACGCATAGTATCCAAGACATGTTCTCAAAATACACATGCAACAAATCAATTTTCAAAAGTTCGTAAAATGAGAGAAAAAAAAGACCTTAATTGTCTTCCTAATTAACCCTAACCCCCCAAGGGTTGCTGGCCCTAACCTTCCCCATTCACACAAAGTTAAACACCCATGGGACTTTGTGCACTGAGGCTGTTGGGCTTTGTTTTTCTGAGGTATGCCAAACCCAATGCAAAAGCCAGCTGTTATGGGCCTACCAGACCTATCCCCACAGAATTAAACACTTTACTACTGTTCTGTGGGGTTGGGGAAGGTTAGGGTTAAAGTGCACCAGTCATGCCAGTCACTTTAGGCTGAAAAATGAACATGGTTGGCCAATAAGGGACGAATGATCCTCAGGTCGAAATTCTGATTGGTCAATACTAGCTCATTAACATTCAAAATTTTAGTCACAATATTCACAATTTTAGTCAAAAAGACAAAAACTAGCATTCTTGGAAGGGATTTTCCCAATTTTCTTTTTTCTGTTAAGATTTTATATTCAAAGTTTGTGAACATCCCAAATATACAATGCAAACAAGGATGGCCATGATGGCTGGAATCTTACTGGAGTATGTAATAAAATAGACGACGACAAATGCTTCTCACATAAGGTTGTGCATTAAATGCATTAATTGTTTGCAACCTGCACTGCGACCAGTCAAAAAGATTTAGCCATGATCATGTTGATCATTAATCAGATAAGGCCATGAAAACAGACTTGTAGATTTGCACCCACCCAGTGTTGTAGTCGTGACCATGTAAGACCTTCACAAGACCTCATGAGACCAGCACAATACAAACATAAGACCTCCAGTCTGAATTCAAGTCCCAAGCCATTAAATGCATTTCTTTATCATTGTTGAGATTGTTACTTGCGACTGGTCTTGGGCGTGGTCTTGTGACTGTCTCAACTACAACGCTGCACCCACCACCACGTCCCAACACCACCGACCCCAAAATAAAAATTCACAAAAATTTCATTATTTGTAAGACACAAAATCACAAAAATCTTCTAGCTGCTAAATAAAATACCATATTTATGTATTTCATCTATACTTCATGTTGTACTTTGCTCTGTTCATGTCTGTTTAGACATTAGATGGCTTTTATGTGTCCAGATGTCTGATTGAGCTATGGCCAACCTGGCTGTGTCGGATTGGCTTGCATGTTAATTATGTAGGCCTACATGTCAACGCATGTATATTTTACTGCAGGTCTTTTTAATTGTAATGATCCCTATTTGACCTGATCCACTATCCGTGAACTGATGAAACTTTCATTGAAAGGCCAACATCATCCCTCACCACTGCTCACTGGCCTCAGCCATGTCAGCGAGGCTTTTGGTTGCAGTTTGGCAGTGGACCTACATGTATCATGTAACATGTTGAAAAGTGTCTGTACTTGGAGGTTAAAATAAAATAAAGAAAAAATTCCTGATGTGTTTTTGAAATTGTTAGAACACATACCTACAATTATTCTTATCAATATAATGCCAATGGACATGATGTACAGGCCAGCCTATGGCCTAACCCGATGGAGATTACTTTACAAAGACAATGGTCGAGCACAAAACAGCACAGTCCAGATAAAACCGCGCTCAACATTATGTGATCAGAGTACTGAATGATAGTATTTCTCAACAAATAACAGAGATGGGGAAGCTATTTGCGGCGCAAGGGAATGTAAAGAACTTCCTATACGATTGACCCACCTTTTCACATAGTTGTTTGACTTGATTTTCTTGCAACTGTTTGCACTCATTTAGCTGCTCTATCCATTGGTCTAACTCCTTCGCATGTGATTTATCTGTCTGATTCGTCATTCTGAAAAGATGAGGATACTCTGTAGAATACTTCTATCTATCGGTGAGTACTTCTAAAACTGTAAATTCGGTTGAATTCCCGGGATGAAAAATGTGACTTCCACCAGAACCGGCAACCTGCGCAACCGCCGTGTGCTGTCAAACAAACATGGCCGCTCCATTTACGCCGCTGTGTGGTGACGTCATGGCAAACCCGCCAACGAGCTGACGAAATTCTTTGATCGATATAAAGTCGGGCGCCCTTCCCCACCGGTAACAAAATTGATGCAACTAATATTGGGGCTCAGACAATTTGCATGTAAAGGTTCAATTAAACTGCCTTGACTTCCTCGATGAAATAGATAAATTTAGCTTTGATGTAATTCAAAACCAAACATAATTGAAAGATCTATGCCAGAACTAATGGCCGTTGTTTCTTTCTTTTTGACACCTTGAAGAACGACAGCCATTGCATTTAAAATTCGACTGATTGAACAGTTGTAACAATGAAGAATAAAGTGGCCGCGGGCAAAGACATTCAGCGGCCGGCGGTTGGTTCAGCCTTTGACTTAATGTTTGTTTTTAGGGTTTTTCAAGGCGAGCGAGACTGATTCTTGAGCAACTGCAATGGTTTTCATCGTTTTTCCTTCTCGAGATATAAGCATCACTGTCTAATAATAAGTACTGGCAACATAGCGCAACTGAAAGCTGTAATTTTTTTTCTCCTCTAGGTCTATCATCAAATCAAGGAATTGGATGCTCTGGGCCTGTGCATGGGCCCATGGGAAGCATGGCAAGTAAACGGAGTAACAAATGATTAGCATAATAATATCACGAAAACTTTACATATCTACGGAAATTACGCATGCGCAGTACTTTCGGCAAAACGGCGTTTTGGTTATCGTACGCTAAACACCGTATTGTTCATGATACAAGAATTGATAAAGACCCCATCGACACTTCAACATGTCATACTTACCTGGCTCAGGGGACACCGTGATCAAGCAGGCGGTTCCCCCACGTTGAGGCCTTGCCATTGCACTTCGGCGGGTTGACGCGTGCGATTCCCCCAAATGTGGGGAACTCGGGAGTACAATTTCTGATAGTGGGGACTGCGTTCGCGCTATCCCCTTGCAACTCAAATCCAAAAACAGAACTTAGAAATGGGGACTATAAGGCATGGAATTCCAAAATGAGCACGCCCTTTATCTACCTTCTGCTGTGGTGGGCTTACAAATTTCGTAACGTATATCCGGACACAATCCTGAAAATTTGGATTGGTTAAATCGTGCGCTTGTCTGGTGATATTTTTTTAACTCAACAGAATACGTATTATACTGTTATTTTAAGCACACTTTTCAAGTTCGCCAACACTCATAACTACATCGTTGATTACTCATGAAAACGAAATTTTGAGCTCCTCTAAATACATCGAGAAATTGTGTTAAATAAGTTCCACTCCAAACTATTTAGCTGGTTACAAACCCAATATTGATGAACTAGGATATTTGGAACTCGCCAAATTTTCACTCTGCAATTGTGTCTTTAATAAACCCTCGATGAATAAAATGCATCACCGTACCGAGGGGGGGGTGCGCAACATGAAGATGAGTCACATCAGGAGTTTCGGTTTCCCTGGTTTCACAGACGTAGGGCAAGACTTTTTATATTACTATATCCCGTTCGTTCTCAAGAAGTTTGCTTTATCCGGCATATTTTCTGCTAACAATAGTTACCCTGATTAACGGCGTGTTAAACGAGTGTCCCCATACCAACTTCAATTTTAGGGGATGCCGCCAGCCAGACTCGTACCCCATTCGCATCTGCGTTCCGTAAATTGAGTATAGCGCCCTCTTCTTTAATGGTTGGTGAATTTGAAAATAAATAATATTCTAGAAAAACAGTTCGAATTAAATATCATGTCGTTCGGCAATTGGTGCCCATTGTCTTTATCATTTAGAATGTATCATAACGTATGCCAATGTGGAGTAAAACGATACAAACTGGTCCAAATGGAATATTTGTTGATTTGGGGAAAATGGAATTTTTGCAAAATACGTCACCCTCGGCTGACGTCAACCATAGAAAGGCAAGGCCGTAACGGGCAGTATTGGATGTGGCTAGGCTAAGGATGATCAGTGAATCTCTGACGCGATCGCGCCGATGTCGTAGCCACAAAATCTCGAATCGTACAAACAAAAAGTCTGGGCTACCGCCTCGGTGTAATCTGATATTTATTAAGAAGACACCGCGAACCAGTCTAATTGCGCACGACTAAACTGAGTGAAAGTTTCTGACGCCGTTATTTCATTTCATTTATCCACCAAATCTCCTCTGTAACGTCGACATTCAACTGAAAAAGGACAGGGGGAAGATTTTCCCCTCATCATCGGTGCATCACCATGTATCCACAGGGTCCGCCTCCTCCATATAACCCAAATCACCCCGAGTACTCCCAGCACATGCAGCCGTATCACCAACACGACTATCCACCACCAGCGACTCAGCCGCCAGCGCAGCAGCAGCTTGGGCCTGTGGGCTACCCGGGACAGCTGGGCCCCAAACCCGGTCACGGTGGACGGAGCAGGACCGGTGATCCCAGCCGGGCACAACCAAATAAGGGTCAAGGGCAAAGGAGGTTAGGCGTTCAGTTATTTCTTCAGCTTAGAACATAGGTCTATCAACCACAATCCTTAGATAAACTTTGAATAAAGTTCATGTTAGCGTTTCAGGGAATCCTTCAGGTCTGACGTCTGTTTTTGTTCGCATTTTCTTCTGTTGTCAGGTTTTTCGTTCATGCTTCTTTTTCTTTTATTCTGACTGTGTGGTTTGTACTTTTCCCCTTGGTTATCTTTAAACTAACTGTCATTTTTTAATTTGTGAAAGTGAATTGTAATTAAATTTTATGGAGAGCATTTTGTATGACTTTTAATGTAGGCTTTACAAGTTATTCTAGTTCTGTAACTCTTTGTGCTTGCACATGTACGTCTTTGCCTATAACATAATCTAATACAAAATCAAATTATCATGATTGAGCCTACTCAGTACGCAGATAGGGCATATTTGGTATTAAATTTAAAATCTGGACAAAGGTTATTCTTAATCTTCCCATTTTATTATCTTTACCTCTGCTTCACTTCAGTCATGTCAGTACTTTCAAAAAGTCTTGTTTCACTTTTTTATATTTCATACACTCTACAATTGAAAATAAGTCATTTAACATAGTTTTCAGACCCTGTATTTTTGGGGGGTTACATTTTCACTGCTTTTTATCATTTATGGAGGGTGGTGAAAAAAAGGGAAATTCTTACAAGTTTCGACAGTTGAAGTTGTGTTTAATAGAGCTAGTAATAATAAGTGGCGTCCAAAAGTAACAGAGTTAAATTGTGGAAGCTAGCGAGGGACGAATTCAATACTCAGGTATTGCTAACATTTCCTTACAGCGATGTAATCCATCAGAAAGCGATACCTCACAATCAAGGAAGCATTTACATACATACTTTTACAACCCTTGAGGGAAGAGTTCCATACATGGACATTACTTATTTTTCTCTTCAGTGGTACCAGTACTTTATATTTGCCATCAGAAAGTGGTAACGTGTCCTCGTAGTCAAATTTTGCAGAGAAGACATTGAAGCGTTTACTTTGAAACACTCGAAATTTTTCTTGACAATAACCAGTCTGATACGGTTTGTGCACTGGGTGTCAAGCGATGTCCAAGTATGGAACTCTTTCCCTCTTTTTGTCTTTTTTTTTCACTGTTAACTTGAATAACAGATTTGTAAGTTGTGACTGACTAGGTGGCACCAGAAAGAGTTTCAATTTCCAATTTAATAGGCAAAATATTGAAGCATTTACCTAAAACCCAGGGTGTGAGAATTCAGCTTTTTAGCTGATTTCAACTATTTTTGTTTAGATGTTGACCCTGAATTTCAGCTTTTTTGTACACCTGTTCTGTACAAAAGCATCAACTGTTTTCAACTTTACTTTTAAGTGGCCACTCACATCCCTGCTAGAAAACACTGATTTTTTAGACCAACACTGACCAATCTCAGGGTTTGTGCACAAGGTGTAAAGTGATGTCCAGATATGGAACTCTTTGCGACTGGGATGGCAAAGTCTGCCAAGAGCAATTTTACATAGCCACATATTCTAATACAGAAACACGACCAAAGCTGATCTTTGTTTCACTTTTGCCCTAGAAAGAAATGCCTTTAAAAAGTGCATTTAAATTCAGCCAATCAGCTGTTTCGGTAGAGAAGTTCGACTGAGGCAAATGAGTATGAGTAGTGGGCTCTACTCAGCCCGGGCCACTTCCCACTGGCCCTGCAGGCCACCAAGAGATCAAAGTTAATTTCAACCCCTGTATGATATTTCTGTTTGTAAATCGACAGAAGCCAACCACCCCCGAAACAGCAGCAGAGGCAAGCACAGCCCAAGCAAAGAGCCCGCCCGGCCGTCAAAGACTATTCCGAAATCAGTCTCTTCATCAAGTACTTCTTGTTTTTTGCCAACTTCTTCTTTTGGGTGAGTGTTTGTCATCCGTTTCCTGTTTTTGTTTTTTTAAACAAAGTTGCTGCCATATGATTCACGTTTAACATGTTTGGCCTCCGTTTTGGGCAGGAACTCCACGGAGGCATCGGAGGCAATTGCCTCAATGCCCATTCCCCTTAGACAAGTTAATTTTCTAATACAAGTGCCCTACTGCCCTTTGCAAACAAGAAATGGCCCTGCCCCTTTAAAAATGAAGTTCCTGCCCAGTATGCATACATTTTGATGGATTGTGATGGATTCGGGAGTGTTAAAACTCTCCCACAATTACGGGTACTTGCATGCCATAAGAGGACAAACACAGGCCGTTCTGGGTCAACTTCCAGGAGTTGCTAAAACTTTCTAAGAGCCAGAAAAATGATACTGGCCAAAACCAAAAATTTGGCTCGGGAGAGACCAATCATTTGCACAGTAAATTGGATTTCTTTATTGTGGTAGGCGGCGTGTTGTTTGAATGCAAAGCAGAAGGTCTTGGCCAAGAACTGGCAGGCTTAACTGCAACACAGAATTTGCCGTCAAACTTTTATCAGTTTCTGCCTTCCTCTCCAATTTACACGTAGATTAGAAATCTGTGCAACATAGGAAAGGTGTTGACACAAATGTGTTTCCGTGTACAGTACATGTACACGTGCTGGTGTGGGTGTACAGTATACACAAGTACATGTGTAGGATACCAGTCACTTTGTGTGATGCATGTTTGTTTTGTTCAACCTTGCTCAACTATGGATCCAAACAAACAAGGCTGTTGTGACTTCAGTCAACTTCAGTCCAGCGTGTCCAACGCCTCCCCATGTTGACCTGGCACAGTGCATGATACAGTGTATGTACATGTACATCCACTAGCCAAAGCTTGTAAGCAGGAAGTAATCCCACACGTGTGACTCAGCCGGAGACCTTGTACAGCTCTGGGTCACTTTCCCAATTATTTCCAGGTTGAAAGAACTTCTCAGTAAAATGTGTGGTACCGCCTACCGGTACACGGAACACCGAACAAATGGTGCAGCATGGTGTAGGATGCACAGTACCTGCCGGATGCAATACATTGTAGTCGTTTCAAAAGCTTCACAGAGCTTTTAACCATGGGCCAATTCAGTGGCGTAGGTAGGATTTTACTAGTCGGGGGCACTAAGGGGCACCAGCATCTTTTTTTGGGGGGGGGCACCAGCTTTCAGTGGTGTGGGATTTTGTTAGCCTTGTGTAATATCCATTCATTCGTTTTTTTTTTCAACTGGGGGGGACATCCGGAATTTGTGGGGGGCCTTCCCTTGGCAACGCCACTGGGTCAATTTCATAGAGCTGCTTAAGCACAGGATTTGCTTAAGTGCAAAAAAACCTTGCTTAATAAACAAAGGTTACCAGGTCAAACTCTCTGATTGTCATGCTAACCAAAGACAGCTCCATACCATTCCAAAACGATATAGTTTTGGCTGGTAACCTGATTTGTCAAGCAAGGTTTTTTCACGTTTAAACAGATTTTTCGCTGAAAAGCAGTGCTGTGAAATTGGCCCCATCAATCATAAACCCGATCTGCCTGTATGCCCCTATTTGGCAACAGTAACATGGCTGCCAGCCATTTTGTAGTGTTGCCATGGAAACAGTTTTCTCCGGAGATCAGGCGGCCCCTGCATGGAAGTCAGAGCTTTCCTGAACATTTCGATTGTAGCACAAACAAGATGTTCGATTCCACGTTGAAACCTGTATCTTCTTGAAGATGGTCATGCGATACATGTACATGTACTTGATCCAAGAAAACAAATCTTATGCTACATTTTGCACGAGAGCCTGGTCACAATGCACCTCCCCTCTAAACCCCTCAGAAATCAGTTGATTCCTTCGACAAGTCCCACTTTTTCAGAAGGTTAGGCAGTATGTCAGTGTCATTAACATAATGCTTGCATGTGAAGGAGTGCTACAGCAGGTCACTGCCTGTTACACCTCCTGAAACACTATCCCTGAGCGTGAATTCATGGAGAAAGTTGCTCCATGTTTGAGTGGGCGATTTAAGGCAGGAGCGTTGGCATAAATACATGAACTACTTCAGAACAAGCCTTTGGCAAGTTGAATTTGAATAAAAATCTGGTACATGTACATTGATTACACATAAATATGATTTGAATTCCCCAAATTAAAGACACTGTTGCTATATCTCATGATTCGGGGCAAGCTTTTGCATAGTAACCCCCATTCTCTGGAATGAATGGGGTCCATTGCACCCTTCTTATCCATTGAAAACAGTGTACTGATGCATAGAGCAATTAAACAAGTGTCTCTTATGTAACTAAGCAAAAGCTTGCCCTAAATCACGAGTCTTTAGTATGGAGAATTCAAACTGTTATGTCGACGTGAATTTAAAGAACTCATTGTACGAGATTTGATTCAAATTTAACTCACAAAAGGCTTATTCAATACCTTGTGTCAGAATCACAATGAAGGGACATGTACATGTAAGAGACATGGCAGAAGTACATGTACATGCACATGTAAGAGACATGGCAGAAGTACATGTACATGCACATGTAAGAGACACGGCAGAAGTACATGTACATGCACATGTAAGAGACATGGCAGAAGTACATGTACATGCACATGTAAGAGACACGGCAGAAGTACATGTACATGCACATGTAAGAGACACGGCAGAAGTACATGTACATGCACATGCAAGAGACATGGCAGAAGTACATGTACATGCACATGTAAGAGACATGGCAGAAGTACATGTACATGCACATGTAAGAGACATGGCAGAAGTACATGTACATGCACATGCACATGTTAACACATGCCATTGGTCTTTCCCTGAAGGACTGAGTTCTTCTATGGTCTTTCTTACAAATTGGTCTTATCTGAGAAACGTGAATTTCATATTGAAGAGCTGCCATCTTTTTCAATTACACATATTTTTCTTCATAATTCCAATTCAAACAATGTCACAAATCAATACATTATCTATGCATCTTTTTTTATTGTAATGTATGCATATTCGCCGCTATTGGTTGCATTAACAAATACATATGTTTTCTCATACGGTACATGACCTACTCTAGGATAGTTCTAAGCTTTTATTTTTTCAAAATAACGTAGCTTTTCACAATCTGTGCTCAGACTTCATATCAGTCTAGGTTGGACTCAGGTGGAACGTAAAAGAGTCACTCCTATAATCATGTCCATGTGATTTTAAGAAAGAGAATAGGAATACGCAGGTGGGCACATGAAAGCGTGAGTCATTCAGGTGCCAGCAAACCAGGAAATTCACATAATAAATGCATGCCAGTAGTCTAAGCAGTGGTGTTAAAATACCCAACCCGTTGAATCAACAATTTATATTGAATGTGAATACAAAAAAACCCACCAGGCCCTGGAATGTCGTTCAAATTAATTAGCCTACTGGTATGTTAATGAACAACTTGCATGTCATCCATGCCGTTCAGAAGTCTTCCAATTGGATGTGTCATCTTTTACTTTTTCTCTCCGAAGATTTCCAATTTGTTGATACGAATGTCAAGATTTTTAGGGTTATGAAGTGAAGTCGGAGCATAACTTTGTACAAGGGCAAACGAATAAGGACCACTTGAATGTTTGAACACAATTGACACTTGCACCGGTATCTCGTTCGCCAAAAAGCACAACGTGGACAACATCAGAAGAGTTTTCCCAACCTGAGTCACATGTCCATGTCTCATTCTCGAATTCCTCTTGGGTACACATGTATGTACATGTACATTGAGCGAACACAGTGGCTGCGAGTGTTGTGATGTGGGTTCAGTAAAGTTCAAGGCAGGGTTATCTATTCCTCACCTGCTGTTGACCTCATTTTCTTTTCCTCTGTCTCAAATACCCTCGTTTCCTCTGCAGTGGAAATCTGAGAGAGTTGATGCAAGAGTACATAACGCCAATAAATTTGTAAATCCGGGGAGCCCGTATTCCTGAAACAAGTCACGGTCTTTATAAGTTCTTTAAAGTACGCAAACTTTGTTGAAGGCCTTCCCCGAAAAATCCCCAGCATATTACGTGGGAGCTTTGAACACATCTGTTCTGCAGGAATGATGGGAGACATTTAACATTCATTGTTAAGAAGCAGGAAATCAGAGTTACACTTAACCCCTTTGCGCTGGGAAGCGGATAGAGCCGCCATAAAAATTGAGATCCCCAGCCTGCTTTTCAGCTATTATTCTCGGCGCACGCTCGAGCGAACACGGTGAAAGAAGGCAGACCCTGGCTCTTGTATATATGGTGATTGGTCTTCGTGTGTAGCCCAGAAATGAAAAGACCGAATTTGCATCATAATCACCAGCTTCACAATAGTCCCCACTTTGTAAAGGGTGTACTGTGTTCATGAACATGTACAGATTAGTAGAATGAAATGTCCAGCCCTCAGCCCTTCAAACATCGTAGTTTTGCTTGCATCGCATCACTCTCTTAGACAAGCAGTTTGCGACAGTTTCATTTAAAGACATGTTTTTATTCCTCTTATTTCATCATTTTGGATTATGTACGAAGTAATGCCTGGTACAAAAACTGAAATCATATATGAGGACTGTGTGCATGAACTGTGTGATCGAACTCGGGAGATTTTGTTTTGTTCATTGAAAAAAAAAGATTAAAACCCCAAAGATACTCGATCATTGATGGTTTCATTTGTGGCTGGGATTGACATTTCAACTGCCGCTGCATCTGGCCATGGTAAAACAATTTTGCTTTCTCTTCTGCATTCAAACGAGTTTCAGTTTTGGCAAATGTTTGCGCAATGCACAGCTGACTAGCAGAGTGAATTAATACCTATTGTGCAACATTGTGTAATGTATTCAGGGTGTGGTTGATAACTGAGCCTCTGTTGGACGGGTTTCAAACTGCCGTACAGTTCCACAGTTTGCGTTCTGCATATTTGACTTTGCTACATGTATCATCTTGCATGTACATGTACCTGTACATGGTTGCACTTGCAACGTGTAGGCTCGAAGAAGTGCTGGAACGTTGAACGTGTCGGGAAATCTCACCCTGGCTTCAGAAAATTGACCCACACTCCATGACATCATAGACACCATTGCTCAGAACCTTTCAGAATCGTGCCTCATATACAACCTAGTCTCCTGTCTTGAGGACAAGCCAAAAAAAAAAAAAATATGGACAGGCAGGTCTTGCTTGTTCAAAATTTACAAGGCCTCCCTTTTTTTACATAAATCTTCAACACTGGAAAACAAGTAAACACATTTCCTTGAAAAAGAAACTGGTTACAGTGGAAAGATGTCCTCAGATACGTGGACATGTACATGTACATGTACAAGTAGCACCGCGAGGTGTCAGTTTCCAGAGAATTTTTCCTGGGAGAGAACAGGTGCTTGCGGTTTTTCTAACCTCAGCCAGGGGAGGGACAGGCCGTTATTTTAATCTTCACTGAAGCCCTATTCAGGAACCTTGATGTACATGCATACATGTACATACATGCACATACTGTGCCTGTATAAAGGAGAGTAGTTGGATCGTCAAGCAGTACAAGTCAAGCAGGCACACACCCATATTTGTTTACATATGTCAGCACGTCACTGTCAGCTTTGTTAACATTTTCTTCCTGAACCACTGCCTCAAATTCAACATACACTGTACATGTATGTGTACAAGCCTGATACATGTACATGTACCGTAGATGTACACAACAGGCAAAATTATCTGTCATCTTGCTCAAAATCATCTCTTATCGACCAAACATTATAATTTTTTTGTCATGTGATCTCTTTGGCAGCAGACGGAAAACACAGATTTTCGGGCTTGACATTTTCTCTAGACTTTGCCGAATGGCTGAGCGTTTAAAGCGTGTCGAAAGTGTCGCAAGTTTTTTGGAAGCGATTTATTCTCAGTACTGAGATCGTTTCCGTTCCTAAAACATTGACATGTGAAGACCTAGGAAACCAAGATTGGTCAGTGTGAAATCCTGACTCCCTACTGCAGAAGCTTGTGTCTGATTTTTTTGTCGATTTAGGGGGCCCAGGGCTAATTTGACCCCAAATCGTAAACTCTGATTTTTAAACGAGAGCTAGCTTTTTGTGGATTCTGAAGTCTGTTGCTAATCTGTTTTTCCTTTCTTTGTGTGTTCTGTTTTGACTTGCCAGCTTGCCGGATGTGGTTGTATCGCTGTCGGTATCTGGGCCTGGAATGATAGGGTAAGTTTCACTCCTATGCACTCCCTCTCCCAACCCTCCCCCATCCCACCCCCACCCCC